TGTGTGTGTGTGTGTGTGTGTGTGTGTGTGTGTGTGTGTTCTTTTGGGACTTTTGTTTAACTCATAACTCATCACAGTGCATTCTGGAACCCAATGTATTCTTTTTATTGATAAAAATGTTCCTTCTGAATTTTGTGAGATGCACTTGATCATTATCAAAAGTCCAAATCAGGTTTTGGAATATCAAACCATTTTCTTTAACATGACCAATATGGGAAGCCCTTCCCTGTCACATTCCTCTTATAAATCATAACCTGCAACTGGAAGAAGAGATGAGTGCACTATTTGGGGAACTGTGTCTATTATTTTCTGGTAATTGGCCCCTTTCTCTTTTTTCCTTTCCACTTCTTTCACCTGCTTTTGTTTGAGACAAACTCTTCCTATGTAGCCCAAGCTGAGGTGCCTCAAATCTAAAACCCTTCCTCAGTCTTCAGAGTGCTGGGATTTCAGGCATGTGCCACAATGCATGGATCTTGCATTTTGTCTCATCTGGTTTATTTATGCATCAGTAGAAACAGACCCTAGTCTGCTGATCGGCAAGGCAGTTCCAGCTGCATTTACCTTGTAAGGAAGCATCTATGTTTCTAGCATTTAAGTCAGAGTTGTCACCAGCAGGAAAGGGCGGGTTTCTCAAGATGATGGGACAGGTTCTCATCCCTTCACCAGGTTCCAGAGACACCCTTGTTAGTGTATAAACAGTGCACCCAATAGATCTTCAGAGCATTCGAGGCCACTCTATAAGCATCAACTATACAGATATGCAGGAGGGGAAAACCCATGGTAGAAGGTCAGGTAGATGATCATATGGGGGGAGGGGTATCTGATGGCGTGAGTTATCTAGCTTGATCTCCATTCATGTAAAATTAGTTGTCAATTGTAGAGTGTAGCTACAATGGCTATGATGTTTGCATCTGTCACCCGGGTACCAGGGAAACAGAGGTAGGAGGATTGATGCAAAATTGAGGCTCTTATCTATATAGTGAATTCAAGGCCAGCCTGGTTACAGAGTGAAATCTTATCCCAAGAAACAAAACAAAGAAAAAGCAATAGGAAACCCAAACAAGCAAGAAAGAAAGAAGAAATCAATATATACAACCCCTTTCTAGTTCATCATCAAAATAAACAGAGGGGAAATGATATTTTACCACAACTGAATGTGCAGTAATAGTTACCAGAGTAAGGAAAAGCACTGTTTGAGGACTCATGTATGTGATAGCATAGTAGTTCAGAAAGTGTGAATGTGTCCAGCCAAGGAAGCACATTGTCTCCCAAGTTGTAGATGACCTTTGTAGGCTTTAGTCTGCCTGCCTTCAGATGAGAGTTTCAGAGAATTTCCTTCAGTTGTGTTTTGTTACTCTGTCATTAAAATACATTTCGCCATCTGCCGAAATGGTTTTTATTAAGACTGAAGAGCAGTAAATCTTACCATAGCAACTTGTTTCACTTGTTTATATTCAATTTCATCCCGATATCCTGCTTGTTGAAATCTGTACAGGTTTTCTATCTCTTCTGACCATTTCTTGGCACGACTTATTGATTTTGGTTTCACGTCAGAACTCGCCATGGCTATGGAGGCCTTCCTGGCAATTATTTCTGAAAGAGGTTAGAACAATTTAAAAGGTAACATGATGATTACAATTTTCAAAACCTTTAGAATGGACAAAAAACGACCAAAGGAAGAATAGAGAACCGCAGTAACATTTCATATTTTGACATTCATTTCCAAGACTGTTATTTTGGGGGAAACAAAACGGTACACCTACAATGCTCTTAAACCCTGGAAGACACACAGAGAATAGTTCATTTCATCATCAAATAAAACTGCATTTGGAGTTATTAAGTAATGTTCTAAAAGCAGCCATGCTGGGTCTGGACACTAATGTAATTAATGAAAATGTATTGTCATTTGTATCTGCTCAATATGTTGCCTAACTATCCCACCATTATCCCATTGATTTATTTTCTCCCACTCCTCTTCTCCTTCTCCCTCTCCTAAAAAACGGAGTGTGAGGGCAATCACCCTTAAGCAAGGCATAGTGATGGACTTGGGAGGCTATGGCAGGAGGATCTGGGGTGAGGCCAGCCTGGCTGCTTATACATCAAAAAGGGAAAAGCACCCCCTCTTTCTCTTCCCTTCCTTGTTCCCGAGACACCCCTTCCATTTAATTTCTGCAGACATCATAATCTGTTTTCTTGGCTCACAGTGTCACACCGTCCCCTGGTAGATCAACATGGGAGGATGACTGGACAAATTCGGTACTAGTTGTTTGGTTGTTGTGCTAAATCATTAATTTTATATGGCATAGGTGGTTACTACTAGTCTAGGACATTCAGCTATCCATGCCTAGTTCATATGAATTATTTACTTGGCAAATTTCTATTGTTGAGTTTTTCCCCTCGTTACTGAGACTGAACTCAGAACTTTATGAGTGCTACGCAAGCATTCTACCATTGAGCTACAAGCCCAACACCACTATCCCTTATTATCTATAAATAACTATCCCTTATTATCTATGTATTATCTAATACATAATAATATTATGTATTAGAAAAATACAGTAAGAAGTATGATTTGAATCGATAAACTACAATTCAAAAAGAACTTAACGTTCCTTGATTAAATACTTTGGTGATTATGGGAAAATACAGTATCACTACTAATTTTGCTAGCAACACTCAGCACTTTAAAATGCAGTGGTTTTCTTTCTGATCTTTGGGAGGAAAACTCGTAAAAATACATTTGCTGTAGTGAACATGAATTGCTTTAGAGAGACTTTGTGACTTGACAGCTCTAAGTGGTACAGAAGCCAAACAGGATAGAAAAGCGGAGAGTTGAGCTTTTGGAATACTTCAGTCATGACTAAAGGGAAATCAGAAGAGCTGGTAGACATTAAACTGATAGAAACAAAAACTCAAGTGCTCAGAAAAAAACCCAGCAAAAACAAACCCACTGTGGAACAAACCTACATCTGACTGAACTTGTAAACCAAGCCATACAGATCAATGAATCAGGAGAGGGTTTAATAAACTATGACAGCCAAGGCTACAGAGTTCCTTGATTGACTGTGAAATTTACCTGAAAGATGTGCATCTAGATCCAGAGACAACTTATTTGGCCAAGGAATAAACACAGATGGAACTGCATAGTTTAGTATACAGAGAACTTCTTGCCCAGGAATTGAGCCAAAGCCAAACATCCATGAAACTGTTAAAACTGCAGAAACTGTTTTGGTTTATTGATACAAATATGAGGTCAATTTTGTTATACTATATGTATATTTCTACTTTTGTTTAAGGTATTATATTTATGCAGCTCATTTAAAAATGCATAGTTAAGAAATACAAGCTAAGCTGGGAGGTGATGGCACATGCCTTTAATCCCAGCACTCGGGAGGCAGAGGCAGGCAGATCTCTGTAAGTTCAAGACCAACCTGGTCTACAAGAGCTAGTTCCAGGACATCCTCCAAAGCCACAGAGAAACCCTGTCTTGAAAAAGAAAGAAAGAAGAAAGAAAGGAAGGAATAAATACAAGCTAATAGTCAAATTTATAGACATGTTAGGTTTTCTAGATATACAGAGATATATTTCAGATGGATAGGTAATGTTCAAATACTTCAAAGACCTACAGAATATGACATTTAAAATGTTTTAAGAACTTGGGCTTTTTATGACAATGAGACATGTCTGCTCCTGGTTATACTAACTACTTCAGTGAAGATGATGGGCATCAAAGAAATTCCACATGGGGTTTGTTTTCTTTATTAGACATGTGGGCAAAGAAATTGCTCTGGCCTAGACTGCTTGACTGTATGCTGTATAAACTGGACATGCAGGGCCTACAGGAAAGTGACTGCTAAACTGGCCAAAACAAGATGGGACAGTCCTGCAGGGTTCCTGCTTCATGGAACAGTCTGCCAGACATTCTACAGAACATAGAGAAAAATGACTGACAAACTGTCAGTATAGGTGGGACAGTTTCAAATGAGTTTCAGTGAGAAGTTTGCCAGAAAATCTAGGCCTATAGGCTGAAGACGGATGCTCCAATGTTACAGAATTTTGGATGACTGTCCAAGCATCCAGATAACTCTGTCATCTCTAGAGTTTTGGAAATTGCTTCCAATGCACTTCCTGTTTATTTAGGTAATATTATATCCTTCTAGGGTCTTTGAGGGAGTTGAAGACGAGATACTTATAGTTTTCCTTAGTTATGATATAAGATAAAATTAGATATAAAACTTTAGACTCACAAAGATAGAATAGATGATGGAGTATTTTAATTTTGCCAAATAGAAATGACTAAATATTGTTTCTTGCTTGATAACTGTTTTGTTATATGTAATTTTACTATGTTAAAAGTTAAAAACTTCCTTTTTAGTTAGACAGAAAAGGGGAGATGATGTGGAATGTCCTTCTGTATGCTGCGAACATGTGTTGCTTTTATTAGTTGATAATTAAAGCTGATTTGGCCAATGGCCAGGCAGAATAGAGCCAGGCAGGAAATCCAAACAAAGATAAGGAGAAAAAGAAGGTGGAGTCAGGGAGATGCCAGGTAGCCACCAGAAAAGCAAGATCTGAGGTAACAAGCCTCATTGTAAAATATAAACTAATATAAATGGGTTAATTTAATTGTGAGAGATAGTAACATGCCTGAGCCATTGGCCAGATGATTATAATTAATATTAAGCCTTAGACTGGTTATTTGAAAACTGGCCGGTGCGACTACAAACCTTCATTTACATAAGCTAAGGTGCAAAGAGCTCCAGTGGCTTCAGGAACAGGGCTCACCTGAGAACAAAGTAGGGAACCATGAGCAAATCCAACTGTAACACTGTTGCTGGGACTTCTCTTTGAAAAGGATGCTCATCACTACTTTTGGATTGGTTGGTGCCAGGGAATTTAAGCTGATAGTTTGACTGGTTGCACAAAAATAGGAAGAATGAAAAAAACAGTGCCTACAGTGAAGTGTGAGAAGCTTAACTTGTGGGTATTGTCAATATGCTAGAGATGCTATTTGTAAAATTCCAGGCAAGAGATTTGTGTACAAATTTGTTTGTAAACAGAAGGCTCTTATGTTTGGCACAGGACCTCATATTGTCCAAGGTATGCTAGAACTCTCTGAGGATGATCTGGAACTTCTGATCCTCCTGGCTTCATCTCCCAAGAGCTGGGGTTTCAGGCATTTGTATCATACCTAGTTCTATAGGATGCTAGTATCAATGCATGCCAATAAATTGGGGACATTACTTAGTTGTCTTCTCCCTTGATTAGTGGTGATGTTCAGGCCTGATATTTCTTTAAAATGTGTTTTTTTTTTTTTATTCTTGCTACTGCCTTTTATAAGAACAGGTAAGTTTTTTAAATAGCACAAAGTTGTTTTAACAGACATAACTGCAAAGCAAGACTAACTTAATGTCATCAGATGTAAAAGGTACGAAAATATGGAAGCTTCAATATTTAACTCGTGAGGAAAAAGAATTTTCAATCTTTTGTGAAAGGGATACTTTTTCATTAATTTTTACTCTTTAAATAAAGACACTATCACTATAGCAATTAGGTATTTCTTTCTGGTTTTGTAAGGCTATGTAAAACAGTCGTTTTCTAGTTTTGCTCACATAAAAATACCTATGCATAGTATTTTAAAATAGTAAATGAAAAATTATTACGTAATAAAACACACTTTCTATAATACATATGTGTATCACTACAAGTGACAATGAGTGTCTACGTTTTAGAAACTGAATTTAATTAAGGGCTATGTGTGTCCTGAAAAAAAAAATTCCACCGATCTCAAGTCTCTGACAAATTAAGCTTCTAAGGTAATAGCCCACACCTGCGATATGGCCACCCCCCTGATGTTCTACAACAGGGAGCTCACAAATGAGACGACTGTTATGCATACCTGTTTAGTTTCTTCCTCTACTTAACCCTAAGGCTTATGCCTCAAACACAAACCTGGATCCCAGGACCCTTTTCCTTATTAATCTTGCCCATGTGTCACCTTAATTACATTTTCTCTACCTTACACGTTGAGAATCTCTTTAATTGATGTATTAGGGATGGACGGCTGAGTCCTGACTGCTGTCACTGAAGCTTTCGTCCCCTAACTCTAATAACACGATAACATGCCAACATGCCTAATCTTACAGCCCCCAACTCTTCCTCGTCTTGTTTCATTATTTGTGCTCCTAGCAGTGGCAAGATATAACTGAGGATCCCTTTAAACTACATGTAAACCTTAGCCAAGACAATGAACATAACTAGGACTGTTTCCTGAACCTAGTCCTCACACCGGGTGTTCATTTTAAAGACTCTGAAATCAGACAGACCTGGTTAAAAACATGGTCCTGCCATTGGGCAACTAATTTAACCTGCCGTTCCCCAACCCCAAGCACTCCATTGTGGTCCGTTCACAGTCCAGGTGTGCAAATTTGCTATTGCGGAGCATAAAGCCATCCTTAAAAGAGTTCCCATAGCTAACGTTCTCTGTCTGCTAGAAACCATCTTTTTGGTTTTTTGCGATAAATCACGTTGTCTTTAAGGTATAATGTGCCCAGAAGAAGCTGGGCTAGGGACAGTCCTCTGAAC